GGACTTATGAAAAGGGAAATTTGCGAAGGAAGTAAATAGTGGATGCATCTAGTTAACATTTATAGATTCCTGCTTTTTTAGGCATTTTGCGTACATAATTGTAAGAAATCAGTATTTATTTTATGTTGCTCGCGCCAACAATAAATTGTAATAGAGGGGGTTCCTCAACTTTGTGCATTTTGTATTAAAGGTATTTGGATTAGTTGTTAAATTGAGCCCTTGGGTAAAGTAAGTAGTGAGTGAAGTAACGTCTATGAGTAAGCGGAACGGAGGAAATTCCCAAGGTGTTTAAATATGCGCAAAGAAATTAATGAACGATTTAAGCATCTTAAAGAAGAGGTACCATTTTTATGTTATGTTGTGTGTTTTATTGATTTATATGGGATTTAAGTAAGGAACAAAGGGGTTTCAGAATATGAAACCCAGTTCAATTGATTTTTGTGTTCTTGTTTGAATTTTCTCTCAACACCCAAGAAGATCCCACAGTCCTGAGGTATTCCAAAGTTCGCAAGAGCATGATTTCTCGGAATTCCTAGGCGGGGAGTTTCGTCATAATACCGTAGTATGAATCCAAAAGAAGATGAAGAAATACTGCAACGGCTCTTAATGCACCCACCCACTCGCCATAGATAACTAAAAAAACATTCGGCACGTCAAACATTTAGCATATTTAGAAAGAAACTGTCCAAGCTGCCGGATAAAGAAATCCTTCCCGACCAATCACAATTACAGTTGAAGCCCAGTACTTCGAAATAATTGGAAGTGTGGGCTGTTCGGATTGGGAAATATTCGGTTTATCCGAAAAAATGTACCGTAAATATCCGAATACATCTATGGGATTACCAGACACAATGCAACGAAGCGTGTGACGTGAGAAAATGGCAGTAACGTAGCGGCATCCGGAAGTGGCAATGTTGCGATCCATGGAATACTGTACGTACCAAGCCCCTCCTACGCGCATGGCTGTAGCAATCCGAAGCTGTGGCAAATAGAAGGCCACCTT